GACCCACCTCCAGCTCTTCCTCACCTGGTGACAGCTCCCACAGGCTGCCAGCTGTGGAGGAATCTCTGGGCTATCCAAGATGAGGATGATCCTTCAAAAGCAGGAGGAAGGGAGAATGTGGCTGCCCCATCCCTGGAAGTGTTCAAGGCCAGGTTGGACAGGGCTTGGAGCAATCTGGTCTAGTGGAAGGTGTCCCTGCCCATGGCAGGGGGGGTCTGAGATGATCTTTAAGGTCTCTCCCAATCCAAACCACTTCATGATGCTCTGATTAGGCTGAGTTGATCAGTCATGACACACTCCCAACCCAAAGTGCTCCACACTGTGACTATGGCCAGGCAGCCACAGGGCTGTCACTAGCACATTCACTGTTCCCATGCATCAGCACCTCCTTCATACCCAGAAACTTCCCCTCTCCCACACTATTGCTCCCACTTACCCTCCAGGAGCTTCAAGCATCTCCTGGCGACACCACGCAACACCCCCCTACCCCTCCCTGCCCTTTCATTTCTTTCATCAAAGTTTCTTTTCATCTCCTACCTCCTTGCTCTGGGGTGTTTTGTTCACCTCCCGGCAGCCCACAGAGCTGAGCTGCTGCGCTGGGAAGGGCTCTGAACCCAGTGTGGAGGTGGGAGCCCACACCAACGTGGAGCCCCCCCAGGGGGGAGCAAACCCTGGTGTTGGAGCAGCCCAAAGCCCCCCTGAGCCTCATGAGCTCCCCACAAACAGAGCTCCAGCAGAGCTCCGTGGGATGAGGCGCCCATCTGCGTCTGTCACTTGCAGAGAACATGGCAGACACACAGTGAAGGGTGTTTAAGCACAGGCTCCAAACGGTGTTTATCCTGTGGGAGTCTGCACACCCACAAGCATGCTCAGGTCATGCCAGCACAGAGAGCAGTGATCCTGAATGCTAAAGGAAGGAACAGAGAGGAAGATCCCCTGGGGCACGCGGGTAGAACAGCCGGAGGCACAAAGGTTATCTCCAGATTACAGGTGCGATGCTCCCACCGTCGGGGTGTGGAGATGGTACAACACGAGAGCAAGACCTGGGAGAGGGAGAAGAGATAAGCTTGAGCAAAGCGACGCTTTTCATCCTCTTTGGCAACAGCAAAATCATCCCTTCACTTTCGATTAGCTGATTTTTGTGTGTGTTGGGTTTTTTCAAAGGTCAGCACATCCATGCAGGTTTGTGTGTTTGAGGAAGAACGCTGACCCCTTTTGAGACTCTCCAGTGTTACACTGAGCTCATTCCCTTCATCTCTCTCAAAACAATTTGGAATAGTCTTGCAGAGTGTACCCAAGCCCCGTTAAAGGAATAAAATAGGGTTTGCCTCCATTTGCCCACACAGCTGGTGGCCAGAGCCTGCATCGCACAGGCCAGACTGAACAGGGGTAATGGGAGAAAAACACCCTTTTCCTCCCTTTGCACTGAACATTGTCATTTTGCCAGAATTCAAGCCCCCACAGTTGGTTGTAAATCATTCATCAATCATGATTTAAAAAGAAAAACCCTTTTGCTTTCCCTCACCAACAGTGAGCCAGGCCCAGAGCTCAGGGCCGATGCTGCTGCCTCGAGGCCAGGCAGCACCTTGGGGTTGACACACTCCATCCCTAACTGTACATACAATTTTACAAACTCTATGAGTGTACTTATAAAATAATCTATTTATTCCTTTTCTAAAATAAAACAATCAGCAAGTTGAGAGCAACAGTACAACAGACAACCTTAGCTGTGAGCTGCTGATCTTTCTATGATACATTATATCCGATATGCCAACACAACAAGTGGAACGTACCAATTTGGGTAATTGGTGAAGGCCTCAGAGTGTGTGTGCGCTGCTGATCTGCCCTAAAATGTTTATTTGCCATGCGGGTTTTTTGCATTCCCGATGATCTGCAACACCGAGGAGTTAATCAGCTCCTCTGGAGCGCACAATCAGCTCTGCGCCTCCTTGGCTCTGGTATGGGGAAGCCACCCAGACTGCGATTTTAGAGCTGCCAAACACCATTAAACTGTTAAACAGAGCAGGGGAAGGATTCTGCCAACACCAGGAACCATGGCAGGTGCTCCCTTGAGCCAGGAGGACACCCAGACACCGCAGGGAAACACGCTGTGAGGAGCAACTCCGGTATCCAGCACTGACCAACGCTCCTGACAGCACTGCCCTAATTCTTTAAGACTGGTTTCAATTTTAGCCTGAGCAGTGGCTCAACTCCTCCCAGTGGATGTTAGCATTCCCATTCCTCCACTGAAAATCCACTTGAGTAATCAACTGCAAAGTTAATGACTGGGGCCCCGAATCAGCAAAGTACTTGAACACATGCTAAAGTCCCATCGAAAGAAATTAGACTTAAACAGAAGCTTTGCTCCAAGGAGAGGTAGTTTGTGTAAAAAAAGCAGCAAGAAGGTGGTTCAAAGCAAGTGTAATAGTCTATGGAAGTAAACCATTCCCACTTGAGTGACTTCCAAGCATCCTGCTCAGCACTCACAAGGACCTGTTGGAAGCATGGGAAACCTAGAGCCTTGGACCTGGCTTCATTTTTTTGCCAGCCAATACTGAACTTGGGTTCAGACGGTAGTCCTGGGACTTGCAGGCAGCTCCCCAGGTCCTGAATGCACAAGAGCACCTCCTGGAGTGCCCTGAGGTGGCAGTCAGATGAAGGGCACAGCACCCACTGTCCCACCAGGCAGGACCAGCACAAATCAGTGTATCTGAAGTCCTCACTGGGATCCCCAATGAGCCGCGGGCAGGCTCTGCCCAGCACCGCTCCCTGCAACGAGATACAGCAGGGAGGGCAGGGTTACAGCCCGGGGACCCCAAAACGAGCCCACTCCTCGCCAGCAGCACTCCCCTGGCTTTTCCAAGGACAGGACTGAGTCTGCACATTCCTCGGTCCCGCGGCCCCGCTCCCGCCCCGCCGATCCCCCTGAGCCAGCGGGTTCGCAGGAACCTGGCGTCCCACCCCCCCTGCCACCTCTCGGTCACGCTCCTGAGTGACGGGAAGAGCAAGGATCGAGTTTCCCTGTGCACCGGAGAACAGGAATAACGTTTGGCCCTGCCAAGGACAACACCTCACTCTGGCAGGTTGCACAGGTAACCACCTGGCACGGTTGAAATCAAGCTGTAAGGGATTTTACAGCCCCACAGGGTGTTAATGTGTATGTATCAATATGCTTATACATCAATAACCAACCTGATCCAAGGAGACAGATTTCCTGGAAGTTTTCCAGCATCTGGATATCTTTATTACGGTGAAATACTTAGGTCAGAGCCCTAACTTGCATAAACTGGCACAGCTCTGCTGAAATCAATACCCTCGTGCTAGCTCCTGCTATTTGATGAGGTGGCCCAGGATCTTTGTATTGGTTTTACTGTCTTCCTTCATCATTTGCCCAGTCCCCATCTCAGGACCTCTTGTATTTTTTCAGCTGATTTTAGTTCTGTTTGTGGAGTCCTAGGCAAAGGCTGTGAGCAAAGAGAAACCACAACAGCTTTGCTTGTAAGTGAGAAATCCAGTAGTGCTCACCATCTCAGGGAGGGTTTGTTTTAGTCTCCCAGCACTTGGAGATTACTCCTTGGTTTCCTGGAGATGCCCAGGTCCAACACTTCCCCTTAATCCCTCTTGGTGTCCAGCCCAAGGGTCGAGCATGGGACCAGCATGAGACGCGGAGGACCACGAGGCGTTCATGTCCTCCCAGGTTCACCCAGGGTGCAGAGACACCTGCAAAAACCAGGAAAAATCCTTTTCTTACAACAACCTCCTGCAGAAAGTCAAGAGCAAAGTCAGAGACACCTTTCACAGAGGCAACTGCAGCGGGAGGGTAAGAGAGAAGGCCACGCTTGGCCTCCGCAGAGGGACCAAACCAGTTTACGTGCTAATCCCAGTGTGAGCAACCAGAGCTGGCACCAGCCAGAGCCAGTTGTCTGACTCCAGCTCTTGGCAGGGAGGGATGGATGAAAAAAAATATGTAGCGCAGGCACTGGCTGCCCGAAGCCACGGGTTGTTGGCTGTCAGCAAACGGAGCTAGACGGAAAAATTAATACAGAGAACATCTCGAATTTGGAAAGCAACTCCTGCACGGCTGCAGGGCTCAGCAATACCCCTGCCCAGGCTTTTCAGTGCCCACAGCACTTTGATGGTGTGGCCAAGGGCAGGGAGAAAGCTGCCATCCCTCCCCCCAGCTCACGTGTCCATGCAATGCTTCCAAGCTCAGGGATTTGGGTTTTTTTCTGGGAAAAAACCCACACACAATCCTGAGGCCAGAGAATAGGAATGAGGGCAAAGAAGGGATTTTTGGCAGGAGAGTGCTGGAGGATGATATATTCTAGGGAAGGTAGCCCAATGCTCCTATGGGATGGACAGAGCTGGCCTCGTTGACAGCCTGGATCCAAGCGTCCATCCACACAGATGCTTTTGGAAGCACCACCTGTACATGTGCAACATCCCAACACTCCATAACGCTGTGACAGGGCTGGCACGGGCAGGGAGGGAGGACGGGATGCGAGGCAGTGTCCAGATCTAAATAAGGCCACAGAAGTGAGGGCAGGATCATTTAAAACAGTTAAAGTTTCATTTTAATGGATACTACAAGGGGGAAAACATTCCCATTGACAAAGGGCAAAGCATGTACTTTCTTTTTCTGAGGCAGGTTTTGCAGTTTTTCCCATCCCCACTCCGTACCCCACAATTTTAGAACCTGGTGGTTCATTTTAGCCTGGTCAGAGTAGGGGAGATGTCAGAGGTTACTCCCCACTTTCATATTTTTTGAGAATCGGGGCACTACTTGCTCAAACACATATAATATCACTTCAGGAAGAAAAAAGAAAAAAAAAAAAAAACCACCACAAAAACAGCCAAGTCCTGACTCGTATTTCAAACTCTGCCATTAAGCTTGTTCAGCTTGAACAGCGCAGATCTACAAGTACTTTGCAAGGGCTTACCCACCTTTCCCTCCCAAAAATCATTAGAATTAGCATTTCTGAGACCAGGTCACACCCTACCTGCTGGAAAACCTTGAGGCAGAAGGTGGTGATGCCTTGGTGCACCAGCTGCCTCATCCAGCCCCAGCTTTGAGAGCCTGTTCTTTGCATCGGGGTGCACTCGGTGCCACTTAAGCAGATTGGCTCAAGGACAACAGATTAAACAAGGCCGAGCAGATCAGCCACTGGAAATAATGGCTCTAGCAAGCCTCTGCAACATCCTTCTGCCCTTCCAAAGAGACTGGGGGCTGGGCCATTTTCTCACATATTCACTAAAGAAAATGTAATATATCACCTTTTACACCATGACTTGACCCTAAACCTTCCCAAGTGTTTGCTGGCAAACCATGCCACCAGGTGCATCTGCTCCAAAACCATCAGGAAGAACTTTCCTCTTTCCAAAAAGGCTTTGTTCAGAGGATAGAAGGGCTTTCTAACTCTTCCTAAGGCTGGTGGGAGTTTGGTCTCACCCACAGATTCCAGCATCCTGCACTACTGGAGTGAGGAAGGTGTGTGTGCCCAAGGGGAGCAATGCCAGATGGAACCTCACATATCACTGAGCAGAATCACAACAGTGTTTGCTTCACAATTCAGTTTTTCTGGGTCTGTTCTGAATCTCACTTGGGTTTGGGGCTGGAGATGCAGCAGCTTGGTCCAGCTCCTGTTGCACTCCCACCAGCTCTTCCCTGGCATGGGGGAATTAATAATTAAACACAAGCTAGGCGAGGAGTAGTGGGGCTAGAAAGCAATTACAATATTTCCCTCTTAAAAGGCAGGAGGGAAGGAGCTGGAAGCTAATGGCAATTCATCTCCCTTCTGCACAACAGCATTTCCAGGTAAATTATTAGGGATGAGCCAGACACTACTATTTATGTTTTCCATAGTCAATGGCAGGTTCCAACCTCTCCATGGGTGGGGGAAACAGCACAGAAAAACACTGAGAGCACAGACCACCCACCAGCAGTATGGTCATGAGTGGAAGGGACCCTCCCCAGAGAGCTGGGTGGAGCCACTACCCCACCACAGCACATCTTGGGAGCCTTCAGCTAAAACCAGCTCTGAGCCCCTGAGCTCCCTCCACCGTGACAGTGGATTTGCTGCAGCCTGAGTGAGGCAGCCCTGGGCTGGCCACCTGCAAGCTGGGCTGGCCCTGGAAGCCCTCGGAGCCACAGAGCCCTCACGGCATTACAGAACCTGGTGGCTCAGCCCATCACCTGGACTTCGGGCACTGGCCCAGCGTGAGGGTGGGTGATGGTCCCCCAGCCATTCACCCTGGTGCACAGGTTGCTCTTACCTCACCAAGTGTCCAAAATTCCAGCAGGAAACACCACATTCTAAAGTCGATGGCTCCGAGCCTGAGCGCTGCCCCTTAACAGTGCAGCCCCTCTGCGGTGTCTGCACACAAAGACAGGCAATGTCATCTTCCCGCTGCTCCCTTAACTGCTTATCGATCCCAAAGAGCCTCGGGATGGATTTCTCTGGCTAGCTATCATCCTCCACAGCCCGGGAGATCCCCCCTATATTAGAGAGCAGACATCTCAGTTAGAGCTTTATTTACTGCGAAGCAGCAATTAAACCATCCCGGTTCGATTTATGGCTGGCACAGATAACCTGCTCCACACGAGCCAAGGCCACTTTAACTTTCACATACTCACCTCTTGCCAGGTGCAAAAAAAAAACAGCTTAATTGGTGCATTTTTTGTATCTCTAGCCCAAATTTAAACCTCATCACTGATCAGTCCAGTACAAGCTGCAAAATTATTCCCTAGAAATACATGTAATAGATTTCGCTGTGCTCACTGCAGTCACGGAGCCAGAGCTCAACTCACTCAGCTTTGTTTTCTGAAAGCTGCATCCTGAAGGTGATATTTGGGATGCTGGGGATTTAAATGTCCGGCTCCATGCTCAGGACAGTGTGGCAAAGCCACCAGGCTATAACGTACAGCAAGTTAACACCCACAGTGCTGCTCCACTTGGAAAAGAAAGACACTGTCATGAGGGCAGGGACACAATGGTTGGTGATGAGGGGACCCAGCTGAAACCCCCAGCCAGCCTTGGTGGAGGGGCTGGAAGCCAGGACACCCCTCCCAGCCCCTTTCCAGCAGGTTCCAGGGTGCAGCACCCCAGCACACCAAGCCTCTTGCTGGTCCGAGCCTGAGCTGCTATCCCAGCAGTTTGCCGTGGATAATGTTCATACTTTACGGAAAATCACTGAGATTGATTCAGATCTGCACTTTATTAATTTTTCCAACTACCAGCAGTGAATTAATCCAGTTGGAGACTGACTTAACTTCTCAATAATGCCCAGATTTTCCACACTATCAAATTCATCTCTCATTACCCACAGTGGGGTTTGGGTGGCAGGTGAAGCATCTTGACATTGCTGTGCTGCTCCTTCCAGACATCCCAGCTGCTGAGAGCCCCCAGGAATACACCCAGTGTCCTTCTTGGTGAGAGTCTGTGGGATTTAAAGAAAATCTCTTTTTAACTAACTCTATGTCTTGGCAGGACAGAGCATTAAGACTGAGGAGAGAGGGAAGTGCTACTTACAGGCTTATGGAGCTGCTACATGGCACCGCTTTTAAACTTACAGAAGTGGTTACTTTCATTTTCAGAGCTGGGTTTGGATCAATAACAGGCTTCATTTCACATTTTCTCAACTGAGCTCTTCTGCATTTGAACCAGCAGCACATGCTGATGTGCATAGTGTCCAGAGATGTAACCTGTCCTCAGCTACAGCACTGCCCACACCACCTGGAGCCATGGAAGCAGGAGCCAGTGCTGAAGAGCTGCTGTACCCAGCCAGCTCCCCGCTCCTGATGATTAGCTGGACACCCAACAGTCTCTGTTCTCAGCCTCATTTGCCCCTGGAATTGATGACCTTCCCTGGCTGATGTCCTGAGACCACTTCTGATGGCCCTGCAAGAAGGATACCAGGAGCCACTCAGCTCCTCACACGCTGCCCAGCATCCAGCACCAATCAGAGTCACCCTGCAACCCAGGGTGAGTGGGAAACTTCTCAGGATGCTGCTTTTTCTTAAGCAGACACTTGGAAAGCCTCTAAAAAATACATCAATTAATTAAAATATTGCCAGTGATAGCCTAGCTATTTTTAAGCTAATCCTTGCAAACAGAGATGGTCTACATCCTGCATACCAGCCCTGCTAAACTGATGTTACCTTCCAACTCTGGGGCCTGATTCAAGTGAGATTCATTTGTGGTTTAATCTAATCACTGTTCCTGGAGTGTTTTCTAGGGTGTTTGCACAGAGCACTTGGGTGATAACCTGAGAGACCTTTCAGGGCAGCCATAGCCCATGTTGGTAAACACCTCCTCCTGCACAATTACAGGTGTCACCACCCACCACACCTGCTTTACAGTCCTGCTTTCCCTTTTGCTTTCACTTCCTGCACCCTTCCAGGCAGCTAGTAAGGAGCAGAGAATTTGCCCCTGCTTGTTTCCCTGTTGCCTTTCTGTGCTCCATGGCACCTGCTGTTCTTGGTATTTCCTGGTGCACTCACACACGGGCATCCAGTCAAAACCACCCCCTCAGCCAGTACTTGGTACCACACCTGACCAGGTAGAGAGATCACCTTTATGATGTCCCATAAATAGAGCTGTTACTGGAGCTGGCAGGTGCAAAGATCATCCCTGATGGGACTATAAACTTCATCTCACTTCCGCCTTTTCCCACAGCTTTTCCCATCTCCTCCACGGAAAGCAGAGGTGTGACCGGTTTGACAGAGCCCCAGGAGGTCTTGCTCACATCCTCGCCCACATGGGAAACATCCGAAGCTTCTGCATCACCTGGGCAAGGAGGTAATAACAATTCCAGCAGGGACTGATTGTGTCTTGGCTGCTGCTGGTTTTTAGAAATCCTGCAGAATCCATCAGGTTCCTGGAGAGGCAAGATGGGAGCACTGGGATGGGAGGTGTGCTGGAGGCTGGGAGCACTGGGACAGCCATCCATGGTACTGCAGACCTATATACTTTTTTGCTTTCAGATAATGAAAACAAGAGGGGAAAAAATAAAATTCCCTTCTAGCCCTTTGGACAATGTCTGCATGTTAATTTAGCAACTTCCAGGCAGGACAGTATTTTTGTCCCTGCCTATGGCGGGGGGGTTGGAACTGGATGATCTTTAAGGTCCTTTCCAACCCAAACCGTTTTATGATTCATTCTGTGATTTATTGTATGGTAGCAAATTAATTTAGAACAAAAAAAAAAAAGTCAGCATCTGAAATAGAGTATTATTTCCTGCAGCATTAATCGGTGGCATTGGTGCCACATAATTTGTTACCAGTGGCATATTTCTGTATGGCTTCATTTCCTTAAAAGCACAGGAATTAGTTAGGTGTTTGCATTGGGAAGGGACTGGCAGGCACCGAGCATAATATGGGCAATCACCAGCGAGGCTGCACAGAGGCATTAAGGGTTTGTAAACCACAGTGTAAATGCCACAGCTCTCCTTCCCTGCGGGGATTGACCTGCTCTGAGGCAGATGTGGTTCATTCAGCTGAGCACCTTCCCCTCCCATATATAAGCGCAGAACAAGAATTCACCTCATCTAAGTAATATACAGCAACACTGAATCATCAATATTTGCTTCTCAGCAAGCTAACTGAGTAACTTCTCCCAGAAGGAAGTCTATCAGGCAGCATGCAGCCCTGTCCTGTAACGGGTCCTTGGGGCAGGTGAATCACAGCACTTCATCTGACACTGTAATTGCATTTCACCTCCTTATCTTCTACCCTGAGGAACTCCAATTGGGAAAATCCCCATCCCTGGTCAGGGCAAACAGCCCCAGAGAAGAGCTGCCAAGGGGAGAACCTGCTGCTGGGGAGAAGTGTTCAGAGCCGGGGTGATGGAGCAGCCAGAGGCACAGCCCACACCACCCGCTCCATGGCAGACTGGTGTGTCTGCAGCCATTCCCAGGAAGGGCTTAAGAGATGGGAGAGGGCTTAAGGCCAGCAGGTGGAGAGGGATGACTCTGCCACTCTATTCCACTCTGGTGAGACCCCACCTGCAGAGCTGCCTCCAGTTCTTGGTCTTCTAGTATAACAAGGACATGGAGCTGAAGGAGTGAGTCCAGAGGAGACCACAGAGATGCTCCAAGGGCTGGAGCCCCTCTGCTCTGGAGCCAGGCTGGGAGAGCTGGGGGTGTTCACCAGGAGAAGGGAAGACCCCAGGGGAACCTGAGAGCCCCTTCCAGTGCCTGAAGGGGCTCCAGAAGAGCTGGAGAGGGACTGGGGACAAGTGCCCAGAGAGACAGAACAAGGGGGAATGGTGTCCCACTGCCAGAGGGCAGGGTTAGGTGGGGTATTGGGAAGGAATTTTTCCTTGTGAGGGTGGTGAGATCCAGGCCTCCTCTGACCAAGCATTAAAATGGGTTGCCCTAAGAAAAACTTTCCATGTTTTACAGGGATTCAGAATTGACTCTAAACTGATCTATTTTATACACATGCATTATAGATTTGTATAACCGTGACCTTTTGAGAGCCATCCTGTGCACTTGTAATTGCATTACATATAAACTGTGTATGAACTATTTCAACCAACAGCTTCCAGGTGATGCGAGGGTAAAACTCAGGGCTGGGGAAAGGAGAGGAGAGGTGGGCTCAGAACATCAAGTACTGAAGAGAAACGTGCCTCTAACCTCAGCTCTGCAGAAGGTTCACGAGATGTTTCACCCTCAGACCTCAGTGCTTGCTCTTCAAGACTCAGGCAGGAGCTCAGGTGACTTCTTTAAGGTGTGCTGAGACCCCTGAGGGCAAAAACGAGAGGTGCAACAGTGACTTTAGCTGCCAAAATCCTAAAAAATTAAATGCTTTGGGGGCTGATCAGGAAACATCAGAAATGCTAGAGGAATTAGGAAAAAAAATCTCCAGCTTGATGCTTTCTTATGGGCCTTTTACAAGAGACCTTTCCTACAGATAACTTGGTAACTCCATCATCAAACTTCCCCTAAAGCAGGGCAGGAACAGCTTAAGTCTCCAGGTCAGAGCTGGTAACTGTGGCAGTGAATCTCCCACAGCAGCCCTTGCAGTATTAACATTTAAAAAATCACGAGACCTCAAATATCCCGACGCTAAGTCTCATGACCTTTAAGTCAGCTAGATTCAGGTTTCTTTTTCTTTGACTCTCGCTATGCTTTTGGGATGGAAATAAAAGACCATGTTAAGTTTAGGGAACATTGCAGGGAGCCTCCACCAACCTTTTCTTCCCACATTTACACTTCTGGTCCCCTAAACTCAGGTATCATAAGTTCGGATTTATTTTAAAGCAGTTCTTTCACTGTTGACTCATTTTGATAATCCTTGTTTTTAGGACAATTCTTGAAAGATTTTTAAGCTTGGTGGAAATGAGTCTTCCTTCAAGGCTCACACTGACCTGAACCAGCATTAAGTTGACTCTCACAGAAAATCACTTCCCAAATAAGGAGAGGCCTCGTGCATTTTACAGGCTACAAGGAGAGCGAGGGCTAAGAGTCAAAGACAGAATATTAGAATATTAGAAAATGCCCCAATCCACGTGCTGTGCCATGTCCCTGGGCACACAATACCCCAGGAGTCCTCATTCAACCCTCTTGCCACATTTTTTCTTTTGATAACACACTCCCCTGAAAAACCAAACCCCAGCTCAGAGAACGCTGTGCTTTGAGCTGTGTTTGTTTGATTGGCTCAAATCAAAATGTGGAGTCAGGTGTTTGTTGGCTGCTCCGGAGCACTGAGAAAAGCCCTTTCCTGCTTTTCTTCTGCATTCCCAAGGTGCATATTTTAGATAAAAGTCCCATTTCTGACCGGGGCGCTCACTGCTGCTCCCAAAAGGAAGAAGGCAGGGCCTGCTCCTGCTCTCCCCCACCCTTCTCCCCATCCCAGTGTGCCTTGTAGCTCCTTGCCCTTGGCTTTGCCACAAGCCAGGAGGGACCCCTGACATCTCTTTTTCCGGACAGCAAACGGGCATAGAAACCCCCAGATCCTGCTGCCCACATTCAGGGACCTCAAGTCTCCCCTCGGTACCCTCCAGCTCCTCGGCTGCTCCTTCGGCCCCGAGGCTGGATGTGGCAGCAGGCACAGGGACGCTGGTTCGGCACAGCCTGGGGACACCCAGCCACCTCTGCCAGCAGCTGTGTTTGTACGTACAGATAAATATACACGGAGCAGAGTCGAAAAGACAGAGTCAGCTCCTCTCGGGGCCCGGCGGCTCCTGTTACCGGCGGCTCCTGCGCCCAGCGCACGCACGCTCTTTATAGCAGCCGTCGGGCTGGCACAGAGCGCAGCAGATGGTCAGGGCAGCTTGGCCCGGGGCCACTGTCAGCCCTGGGCTCCTCACTTCACGGGATGTGCTCACCGAGGCCACCCGGGGCCTCCTGCACACCCACGGGCTGGGCAGGGCACTGGTACCGGGGAGAGAGCCGGAGCAGTTGCTGGCGTGGCAGGGGTAACGCTAAACGGTCTCAAAATTGCAGGGTCCCCACCCCAGCATCACCATCTGCTACGGAGGGTCCTGCTCCTGCATGAGCAAAAGCCTGGGATAGCTGCAGGCAGAATTTGGCAGGTAGAGACACCCTGGGCAATGCTGAATGGCAGAGGGATCACAGCGCCTCAGGGAAACCTCAAAAGCCACAGTCACCCAGTAACGACCTGCCTTTGGTGGCCATTGTTGATGCAGCTCTGGCTGCCCAGAGTCCCAGGAAGGAACTGGTGCCCCGTTTGCCCCTAGGACAAGAGCACAAGGGGCAGAAGGAGCTGCAGGAGGAGCAGGGAAGGGGTGGCAATGGCAGGGGCAGGAAGCAGGTCTTGTGCCCAGCCACCACCCCATGGGTTGGGGACACGGGCAGGGAGCCAGGGCTTGCAGCTGGGCTGCGGGGAGAGGGGCCACGGGTAGGGATTGGCCATGGGTATCACGTGGTGTTTTC